GCAGGCTGTGAGGGGGCGGCCGCCATGATGGGGCGCCATGAGGGCTCGGCTGGTCTCGCCGCCCCTGCCAGGGCCCTGCCCGCTACTGTTACCAGCGCGCCTACCCCAGAAGAAATCTCCGGTAGCTTTACGAGCTGGTGACTTTAGCCTCCCTCACCACCGCAGAGAAGCGTTCAGTAGTGAAAGTCTAAAGTAGAAAAGGGCAGTATGACCAAATGACGGAAGATTTAAAAAGCGCAACCCCTTCCCTGTGATTTGCAGCGTGGGCTCAGCACAATCTGCTTGTAGCTACAGGGATAAATCAGGAGGAATAAGTCAAAATTAGCCTTAGGAAATAAAATCTGTGAAGCAATCCTGACAGCTGCCCGGGATGTCGATTCCTTATGGAATGGGAAGGTCAGGATCAGAGCAGGGCCTCTCCCACAGCAATGGCACCTGTTGTCCCCTGCCGCCAGCACATTTTCATTTGCAAAGACTAAATTCTGCTTGACAGATACAAACACACCAAGTATGCTGAGGATAGCTGAGAGTGCTGCAGGTCACAGAGAACCTCGGGATTGAAGGAATTTTTGTGGTAACCAGGTGCGTGTCTAGTTAATTTGCTTTGTTTTCTAGCAGGGAAGGTGAAGCATGCACAAATTTCTGTGACACAGGTAGGAAACACTTTCCAGAGTTACAGCCCTGTCCAACTGCAGTTCTATTAGAGCAACACAAACCCTTTCCAGCTCACCGGTGTGATCTGAATGAAGAATGCCAGTTCTCACTTTTATTTTCACAGGGACACACAAAAAATAATTTTTAAATAAAAGGGGCAAACAAAATACACCTGACCTCTCCAAACACTACTGTCAAAAGTTTTAACTAACAGCTTTGATTTACAGACTGCCTCACTGATATGACTGGCTGCATTAACAGTATGGTTATCTTGTTACAAGGGGCAAGATTTGATTATTTTTTTCTTATTAAAAAAATAATCAAATATTCATGACCAGAGGTAGATGAAGTAAGGAATTCTGTTGCAATTGTCCTTTCCCTCCTTCTTGCATTGTTATTTATACTTTTAGAATTTGGCAGGAAGCTTCATCTTCTTTTCAGTCCACCTAAAATAATATAATTATTAGAAGTCAGACTTCACATTCCAAAAATGAACAGAGTTGGCTTAGCTTTTAGTGCCACAGATGGCATCAGCACAAACAGTCAAAATGACCCTCTGAAATACACTTTGCTAAAGATTGCAATTCTTCATGCCCAGGTAATACACAGGAAATGTGCTTGGAAGAGTGCACAGCCAAGAGCTGCTTAAGGGAAAGATGAACAATTAGCAGGATTCCCTTAGATATGTAGTTTATTGCTTGTTCCTTCATATACTAACTTCTCAAGGTGACAGTACAAATCTAATCAGGACTCCAATGATTTACAGTTAAATACCACTTATTTAAGATATTAAGAATATGTGTTGCTGTAAAAAAAAAAATGGATGTGATTTTTAACATAGGTTCTTGCCACTTAAGTGACAGAGGTCTCAATGTACAACTGTGTAAAAGATTGTTTCATAACAATTTATTTTCCATAAAGAGATTTTCAGGTGTAATTACAGGCAATGTGAAAGCTCAGGAGATGTACACATTCTGTCTGTTGTGGGCAAGTCAAATGGTATTTTCTGCTTTAAATTTCTACTAGATCTGTATTGTTTATGTAAAAGTGGACAATCTATAACAATATCTAATGTTATGTGGGGGAGAACTGTGTGAGCTGAACCTGGCTGCTAACTGGAGCTTATCAAACATTGTGTTTAACACTGAGTTTATCAAACACCATGTCTCTTAACATTTCTGTCCTTGCTCATCTCTACCTGCAGGACACAGCTCATACTGTTTTCTTGATGAAAACAAATGCAAAATACAAACAGAAGCATTTTAGGTAGAATGCTCATGTAAAAAAGACTTAGTAGAACTATACAATTTGAATATTTCTGCATCATAACACTGAAGTTAAAAAAAAAAGAAAAAAGATAATTTTATTGCTGGGGAAGAGTTTTGTGATTTACCAGGGCATTTCTGCCTAAATCTGATGTTCAATTTGAAGATAAAGCATCTAACTTAGTGTCATGTGTTTTCTTACCTTGGGGAGTCAATTCCACTGTCTCCTGTAATGCTGTGGTTTTCTGTCCCTTCTGAGTGTTTCTGTTCTGGCAACACAGGACATATATTCTTTAAAACCTGCTCATTTTTTCCTAGAGGGTTTCTCACTTCTTTGTTCCGTGAGCCCAAAGCACGGTGTGTTACTCCTTCTCCTGCCTCATGGGAGAAGTTCTGCAAAGTGCCAGCAACAGAGTCAGCCTCGGCAGCCTGGTGGAAATCTGCCACAGCTGAGCCCTCCCCATAGTCAGTGAGGCCAGTTTCTTCATCCTTTCTGTGACCTTTCAGAAGAACCTGGCTGCACAACCAATTTTCTTCTGCACTGTCTGGTTTTGGATGCTCCTTTGAGCCATCTGTTGGTTCTGCAAGGCTGGCCCTTCCTTTATATCCATGCTCTCCAGAGTCACATTTATTTACAGTTGTGTTGTGCTGGCCAGGGCAAGTGTACAAAGCCTGTACCTTACAGGTTTTTAGGGACACAGCTGTGCTCCAGTCTCATGTGTCTGAAAAGGCATGGCCATGGGATTCAGAATTCTCATCCAGATGTGATGAGTTACAGGTGTCACCATCATGTCCTTTTCGGTACAGAAGGTGGAAGTTATCAGTAAACCCTTCACTTTCCAGCTCCATTGATCCAGGATGGCTGGCACTGTCATAGTTAAATAGAAGTTCACTCTTTTTATCAGTCTTTGGTCTGTATTTCACACCGTTTTTTGGGGCCAGTTTAACGCTGGCCGTGTAATTTGAAGATGGACATTTTGAAATTCACTGGCAGTTTGATCTAACAGCTCACATGCAGTGTCAGCTTTGCACCTGCAGTACTCATCTTTCAGGCAGAATGGAAATTTTGCATCTTCTTTGCACACACCCTTATCTTCAGTGTACGAGCAAGGGGATGGGTTTTCTGCTGTTCTTTTACAGACGTTTTCTTCAGAAATATTACTCTCCAGGAAGCATTTACTTCTGTGATCTCTTTGCAGATTACTGCCTTGTAGATAACTACCATTTTCACTTAACCTGTCTTTCTTTAATTGAAGGCCAGACCTATTAGCATGGAGTGGGTTGTTATGCTTAGCTTTGTCAGCCTCACTTTCTGCATCCAGCCATCCAGTTTCACAGCCAAAGGGACCTGAGGAGACCAAGGACTGTGGCCTTTGGAAAGCTCTTCCTTGCTTTCGAGTCCGGCACCTCAGCTGACTGTTAACAACACCTTGGTACCCTCTTGCAGGAAAACTGCGAGGTCTCCATGGCAGACCCTGAAAAGGATTGGTAATCTGCTTCTTATATATCACATGGGATTCCACTGCTGCATCAGGTGGCTCTGGGTTTTTGATGGGCAGTGAGAAGTTCTCTTCCAGTTCCACGTTTTGGGATTTTGTCTTCTGTATGTGAGACTTCCTACTGCTCCTGCTCATCTGTTTTTCTTTCTTTGATTTGGTTTTCCTGGCATGATTTGCTGTTTTGCTTGGTGCCTTTTGAACACAATCTTTTGAAAGATGGTTTTGCCTGACTGTTGGCACTTCAGCCGAGGTACCATTACTGATGATTTTTTTCTCTTTACATTTTTTCTGCTCCTCAGACTTCTGCATTAATATTGTGTGTTTAATCAAATTATCAACTGTAAGCATAGGGTTAATACGCCTGATGATTTCATGTTCAATATCACGTGGAATATTGTCTAAGTCATCTTCATCCCTGACTGGCCACTCCTGGGGAGGAAACTGGGCTGAAAAAGTGGAGTACTCCTTCTTGTGTTTTTCTTTTTTAGAACCACTTCTCCAGAAAAGGCCAAGGCCAAATATTTTGCTTTTCAGTTTTGCTTTCACAGATGTCCGGGATTTGGTGGCGTCCCAGGAATGGTTCTCAGCAGATGCAGAGATGCCTTGTGTTCGACTTGAAGGCTGCAATTCACTGCAGCCTCTCTTTTTCTCTCCATTAGATTCATGGCTCATTACCTGCCAATGTCTTTGTTCACAGAGCATATTTTGGTTAGGGAAACAACGGCAGGATCTGTAACAGGATACTGTAGCAATGTTTTCTTTCACTAAGTCTGCACAGGGCTTAATGTTTACCAGGTAGGTGATGGAAGGTGATGAACAGCAATAACTTTCCTCCAACAGGATCCTTCTGTTGTCTTCTATGGCATCATTTGTGATAAAGTATGTGTTGGGAGTCACAATGAAATATCCTGCTCCTGTATGATAGATTTTTCTTTCCTTAATTAGAGTGCCAAGGATATTATATAATATATTGTGGGAGGGCACTGCAATGCCTACAACAAAGAGACAGAAACTTCAAATCAGAAATACGTTTTCAAATAAAATAGGTGCTGGCCTAAACATCTCTCTCATACAACAGCCCTGAAATCAGCTGAAAACAAAATACCCAAAAGCATTTAGATAAAGGCCACTGCAGCACCACTGTGAGGAAGCAAGGATGTTGTCTTTGGGTCTATCAGGATATGATATCCATGTGAGACACCTTCTGCCAGGTACAAACCAAATGGCTTGTTCAAAGCATTTCCCTTCTGGCATGTTATTTAATAGGGGCTTTCATCACTCTCTGAAGTTTCTGGTGTAGTTCGGTCAGATGTCAATTTCATTACCTCACTGAGACTGGTCTCAGCTACTGTTTTCCATCAGGTGTCACAGTCTCAGAGTCCTTAGTCTAGTCACAGCTGACCTCCTGCCCACAAAATTAAAAACTTGTGTGAAAACACAGCAAGAAATGCCTTCAAGATCCTACAAACTTTGAGAATGATACTTCTGGCTGATCTACAAATTCTACCTTATGGTTACTGACTGCAACACATTCCTGGCATGGTTCTGTGCCAGTTTGTGGGGCTGCATTAATATTTTCCCACTGGTTAAAATGCCTACCAGATCAGCCTAAAACATTTGCAGAGCTGTAAGGTTAAGAGGACTCAAAAGAAGCAGCTCGGTATCAGACAAAGCAGCCTCCTGAGAGGGCCAGAATGAGCCTGCACAAAGTCTCAAACACAATAGCACTTTGGTATTGCAGATCTAAGGGAAATGGGATATTTTTCAGATGTACAGAAAACATTTAAGGCTGCCACCACATCAGAATCATGGAATATTCTGAGTTGGAAGGGACCACAAAGATCATCAAGTCCAACTCTAAAGTGAATGGCCCATATGGGAAATCAAACACAAACCTTGGCATTATTTGCATCATGCTCTAACCAGCTGGGCTAGAAGTGAAGATCTAGAGATGGCTTAGTGTAAGTAATTTACTTTCAGGAAGGAAAGGGCTAGAATATGACCAACAAACCTGAATTTGAGGCTGGTTATATTTTTTGATAGCAAACACCAGATGTAGACTCCTACCCAGTCCCTTTGCAGTCAAAGTCAGCTGTGTTCCTGTCACTTAGAGGACTTAGAGTCTCTGTGATCTAACGGTCTATTTTATGCTTTTCCATACCTA